TTCCATTCCAGGTTACCAAACGCACCCTTAAAATCTATAAACACGCCAAGTACATATTTACACTCACTTTCATTCACACATTCATGCACACACATCCATGCATTCTCTGTCGAGCGCCCCTTCCATGTTGCACTTCACTAAATCGACCAGACACTTTCGGCTCAAGCCTCTTTATCATCATCCGCTCCAGCGTCTTTCCAATCACCGATAACAAACTAATTGGTCTATAGGACGCAGGGTCCGATCTCACCTTCTCCGGAGACTTCAGTAGAACTACTATATTCGCTCTTTTCCACGCCTCCGGAAAGCACGATGTTCTCAAACACACATTATAAAGCCTCAACATCCATTATGGAATTGGCCTCCAAATTACCCTCAGCTTCTCTGTATTTAACTCCGTGCAAGCCAGGTGCTTTTCGCAGTTTCATCTTACGCACCGCGTCATTCACCTCGTTCCATTCAAACTCGCGTACATTCATTCCATCCATTCTAAATCTCACACTATTTACACGCGAAACTGGGAAGAATCGTTCCATTAATACACACACACTCTCTCTCCATGTGTTCGTAACTCGGCCATCGACGCTCATCGCACTCAGTTTTTCTTTTCCTATCTTTCCGCGACATAATTTATACACTGGACCCCACGGGTCGAGGTCCGAGGACTCGCTAACAATCTTCCTCCAATTTTCTTTTTTCTCCCTCCACACAACCGTTTATACTCATTCAATAGAGCCTTATACTCCGTCATTCTTTCATTCACATTAACACTATTCATCTTTCTCGCTTTCTGCCACGCCCTTCTACTCTCCCTCACTCGCTTCTTCATACACTTTAACTCATTCGTCCACCAGTTCATCTTCTTTACATTCCTACGCTTCATTTCTTTCAATCTGTTCCTATTCGCCACCTCGACCCATGACATCACTCTCTCTAACACATCATTTCCATTCAACTCTATACTCATACTTTCATCATACAATAACGCACACTCTTAGGTCATTCTCATATTCCTTCCATTTCACGTCTGTACACGACCATCTCTTATGTTCATCAGCAATATTTACATCAGAGTCGCACTCCATTTCAATTAAAATGACATTATGGTCACTTATACCCCAATCATGTTGTTTCGTTTGACTTTAGTGGAGTTAGAGTAAGGATACAGATTTTAAGACAACAATCAGTATATTTTCCTGAAGTCAATAGGTTACACAAAGTTTTATGACTAGTAGCGGTCAGCGGAGCTCGCTGAGTGATTATCCGTGATGATCCTACGATTCAACGCACGAAATCGTATATGTATACACGGTGCGAAACGGTGCAAAGGCGATTAGGATAATAATAACGCTGGAGCGACAGCGATAATGAATACGTGCAAAACTGATAGACTGGTGATGTTTCCGAAAAGACGGCGAATAACACCCGCCGCGTACAGTTGTCCGTCTTTTATACCCCGCCGAGCGGCCTCTGTAAGACCTTACTGGAGAATATTCGATAGTGTCCTTATGCGCGAGAGTGTATTTAATTTCTCACAGGACAGTGATTTACAATCAAATCCACGTTTGCTCTCCTTGCGTATCATTAAAGATCGCTCGTGCAGACACTCGCGTATTTATCTGCTATACCGATCCCAAACTCTCGAGGCCCGTGATACCATTGAGCCTGTACGAGGGACACTAATTAGCGATACGCGTCAATCGATGAAAACCATATTGACCAGTGAACGACAGAGGTTGGTGGTTGTCAAACTGCTTTTGCAACACGTTTAATTTCCCATTCAAGCTTGCACCCAGCGCACGCCTCGTTTACCAGAGTGACATCAATGTCTGGCCTCTCATACCTGCAAACGTATAGTACTCACTCGGCTCATTCAGTACAATCAATCCATTCGCCAGTATCCATTCCTCTAAAATTCTACCACTTATCTCACTCTCGTTACTGCGGCCCCCACTCTTGCTATACCACAAGGGGAGACCGCATTCGCATCCATACACATCACAACACGTTTACTTCTCACATGCTCTCGCACTCTGTCCATGTATGTCAATTACGGCTCGATGTCATGACCGTACCGACAATACACAGACACAACGTACAACTCACCAAAGTCTCCTTTTAGCCACACACACACACACACCATACTCATCCGTACATTCCCTCACACACATAGATTCTACATTCACAACTACCGCTACCTTAACGGGCCCATTCTCACACACATACACATCCCATCCCATCGGTAATCCTTTAACCAAACCATTCAAAACATACGGCTCTTGCAACAGTGCCACATTCACATCACGCTCAGTCATAACATTACTCAAATCACACATCACTGCATACGCTCTCTGACAATTACACTGTAAAATTCGCAATTTACTCATTACTAATTCTATTTCTTTCTCTTTCAGCGAATTTCAAATATTCCGGGCACTCTATAGATAAAACCGAATGACTACACGCCGCCCCCTTTAATTTACAGTTTCTACACACACACTCACTCTTGCAATTGTCACGTAAATGTCCAGCCTCGCCACACCGCTGACACAACCTATCTGTCACACTACATTCCCGCATCATATGCCCAAAGGCATAGCACTTATGACATCGCAAAATGCTTAAGTAATCCTTTACTTTGCACGCTCTCCATTTTACATACACCCTTCCTTCCTCTATTAACACATCTCGCACTTTTCTGGTCACTTCTAATATAAGATTACCCACACTTGTATTCCTCTTATTCATTCTATTTACAATTCTCACTCTGTGCTTAAATTCACTCTCAGATATACCACATTTCATATTATTCACATTCTTCTTATATAACTCATTCATAAACTCATCATTCGTCATCTCGCACGGTACATCAAATATAATCACCTTCGGACCGATCTTCTTCGGCAATTCTACCTTCAAACCAACGTCGCCAAACTTCTTGCACTCACGCAACTTCCGCAAATCATTCTCAATCACAGTCTCGATCGCTACACCATCACTACGTGTCTTTCTCACAGCTCTAATGCGTACATTCAAAGACCCACTCACATCTCGCATCACTTTCTCTTTCACCTGTTCGCTCGTCATTTTTGCATTCTCATCCTTCGCTTTCAGGACTACCGCATATACTTTCTCCTTAGGTTTCACAAACACACTCCTCGTCGCGCTCACTCCAGTCACACTCCCAGTAGCTACACTCGCAAAACTCTTGGCAGAATCGATCGTACGACTTTCAAGCTGTTGTACTCTCTTCTCACACTCTTCCAATCTACCCTGTAACTTTTCATTCTTATTCATCATACGTATCATACGTTCCTCATACTCACTCACACAACTTAATAAAAATTCGCTCGCTACCTTCGAAACCCGGTTTGACTCACTAAAGACAAACTTCATAATTTTCACACTAATCACCTTCATCACATTTACATCATCTACACTACCAGCTTCACTTACAGCCTCTTCGCTGCCACTAACACGCTTCATCCGCTTTTGGCCGATGCTGGCACTCCTGCCCCTAGTAGCCCTAGAGGCAGAAGACCCTCGTGCCTCGCTCTCGTGACTACTACCCTCCATTGCCCCGAGTTTTTTTGAAATATCCATAAAGAATTCCACGAGTCGGGACGAACGTATGTCATTCCCCAGGTGACGCCCTTTCCGGGGAGAAGGCTCGATACTCAAGAGGATGCCAGATGTCTTGAAATCGCCGCTAGGGACGGGTGCACCCACCCGCCACGCCCCGGTGCATCCACCAGAGCGTACCCCATCGCCGCGCGCCATAACTTAGGGTTAAGGACTTTTTATAGAGGTTGTCATCCTCGCAGGCCAGCCGATTAAGGCAAGCCCCCCGCTCCCCTGAGCCACGAACCACTGCAGACGAATCTCCAGTGGGTCGTTGCAACGCCAGAGGCCTATGGCGTGGGGCACCACACTGTCGTGTGGGACACAAGGGTTACCACTCACCTCGTTCGCCTTCTTTCCAGCCGAAGCCGAAAAGAAGCCCAGGAGCTCCACGAGGAGGTGAAGTGAGTGGATTTGGCCAAGCCGGGCCCCCAACTTCGCCGAAATTCGCCGCTCTGGGCTTCGCCTAAAGACGAGTTCCAGTTTGGTGAACATCAGCTCCATCGGGGTTTTCGACTCCAGCTTTCGCCGGAGAAGGCCCAACCCAGCCTCGTGCTCCCTCGAGACCAGTACAGTAATGTCTCCACAAGTGTCAGTCCGCAAGGAACCTAAACCTCACATTTGTAGAGTCAGGGACAGTTGGAGAATTGGCCTGCCGTTTGACCGATACTTGTAGAATCGGCCCTACATTTGACTGACACTTGTAGAATTGGCCCTAGATTTAACTGACACTTGTAGAATCGGCCCTACTTTTTTTTTTTTTTTTACGTGGACGTAAGCCGACATTAAATTAATTACTCAATAAGTATTAATAAGTAAATGTTGTTCAAATTATATCGTGTTTGGTCTCATTATCATCAGAAAAATCTCACTAACATGTTAAAAATTATTTCAGATGAGAAAAAGTGAAATTAAAGAAATTATATTTTTCTATTTTGAATTGTCCAGCCGCGAAAACTCATAAAAGAAACCGAGTGGTGTAGCGTTGCACGCTTGACTGTCTGCGAGCGAGATAACATAGGCGCAGCAATGACGCAGACCTAGGCGTAGGATCATCTATACTGACACTTGTAGAATCCAAACTGACTGACACTTGTAGAGAATTTACTGTATTATGTAATTAGGTAATTGAAGCATTATAAAAGGCATGCAAATTCATGCTTTTCGCAAATGGTTGCTCGTTTCTTAAGTAGTTTATACAACCCCAGTGTAAAGTTTCATAACAGAGTTCTGCTATGTTTGGATATATAAAAACCGCGTAAAAAATGCAATAGTACAAACTCGTAGAGTGCTCTCGTTTGTATTATTACCGTTAATATTATTATTTTCACCTAACAAGTAATTAATTAGTATTAATCGAAAACTTGTTACAGCTTTACCAAGAATACGAGAAAATTATAAGTGATATGGAGAACATCTACAGCACTGCCAAAATATGCGACTATAAGAATCAAAGTAAATGCGATCTCGCTCTGGAACCGGAACTTACTGAACTCCAAATGAAGAGCCATGACCCGGAAGAATTGAAATATATCTGGGTTCAGTGGAGGAAAGCAACCGGTGAAAAAATGAAATCCTTGTTCACGAGATACGTTGAATTAAGTAACATGGCTGCCACGTTAAATAATTTTACTGACAACGCAGCCTATTGGATGAAGGATTACGAGACTGATGAATTTCCCGAACAAATTGGTGTGTACAAAATAAAACAATAATAATATATACTACTGCTACTATAATAACAATAATTATTATTATACATATACTTTTTATCTACCTATAAAATTTTGCTGAAATTACTTACCGATTTATTGAGCCCGTGAATTTTATAAGAAAAAAAGATTTTACTTCTTAATTTCAGCAATATTCATTACAATTTAAATCGTAAATATTTGAGTCACAAAGCTTGGCATCCAACATAAGAAATGAGAGTAAATGAAAATAAATAGAAAAAGTTGCCGAAACGTAATATAAATTTTTAATAATAAAAATTTGCAGATACACTCTGGCAGCAATTGAAGCCACTTTATTTACAATTACACGCGTATGTTCGCCGAGAACTTCGAAAAAAGTACGGTGAGAACGTGGTTTCGAAAGACGGTCCCATACCAGCACATTTATTAGGCAACATGTGGGCACAAAGTTGGAGCAATATTGCTGACTTCTCTATTCCATATCCGGGAAAACAACTGCCAGACGTTACTGACGCCATGATTAAACAAGGTTCGTTTAATATTTAATTATAGACTGATAACATATACATAGAATAAATTTATATCGTGTTTATATTGTAAAAATGTTGACCTGTATTACATGATGCCCCGCGTAATATTTCTATAATTTTTAATTTAACATTAAAACTTCTTGTAGCAGCAACGCAGGTTATTTTAAGAGCGACGCGTGTAGTCCACGGGCGTTCGTGCAATATTCACAAGGAAACATATGTTACATTAGTTTTGAAAAACAATGGGTGCAAATTATAGGAACCAACCTCCTAAGACCTGAAATATGCCACACGTCAGAAAAATTCAGTATTGACGAAAAAAATGGCATCAAAGTCCGTCATGAACAACTTTGAAAAAGGATATATGTAAATAATTATCTCTTTATAAGTTTTTTTTAGATATACGTGAATAAAATAAGTGGGAAAAAAAACAAAAAGCATCAATATGGGGTTCAAGTCCGATTATGGGGATTTAAAAATTAATTAATTTTTTTCAAAGTTAATCTAATTGTTTTTCAATGTATGGGAGAGGTCCAAGCCAATGACCTGTTAGAGGACAGGGCGCTCCCTGGAGAATGCTGGGCACTCCTCCAGGGTGTGCTGCGCCGTGTCCTCCCATCCGTCGCAGTGGTGGCACTGCGCCGCCGCCTCCCTACCGATTTGACGTAGGTACCCACCGAAGCACTCGTTCCCGGTGAGCACCTGCGTCATACACTAAGTTAGCCTACCCCGCGTCCAGCCGATCCACCTCTTGATGGCAGCCAGCCCCGCCACGCCTCCAAGGCGCGTCGCAGGGCGTGACGCTTCAGTGTTTCTCTTTCGACCGCTAGCTGAGGTGGGGCCACCCCCTCCCGACGGAGTTGTTGGTGACGCCCATATACGTGGGCGTCCCCCTCCGCCAGGAGGTCAAACGGTATAAGCCCCGCCAAAGCTGTCGCCGCCGCGTGGGACGTCGTGCGATACGCGCGCGCGCGACCCTGACCGCCAACTTCCTCTCGACATGGCGGAGCATGTTGGCAGTCAGGTCGCGCGCCCAAACCGGCGACCCATGAAGGGTCATGCTTCGCACGACGCCCACATATAGGCCGCGAACCCTCTCCTCTGGTCCTCCGAGATTCGGCAGCAGACGGCGCAAGGCCGCCTTATCAACTCGGGGAACCAGGAGGTCGAAATGCGCCCCGAAGCGCCAGCGGGAGTTGAGGGTGAGGCCGAGATACTTTACCTCTGACCCCACCCCGACGTAGGCTCCATCTAACCGCACTCAGGGCTGGGGCGGCACACCCTGCCGAGGGCCATAAAACTATATGGCCTCGGTCTTACGGGGTGCCACTTGCAGCCCCAGTCTCTGGCAGCCCACCTGACGTACGAGCGCCCCCCTTATGGCCTCCCAAGGCAAGGTGTTAAACGCGTTGAAGGTATCTAAACTTACCGCCAACGCCACCCCGTCACGGGATACAGCCGAGTCCGAGAGGAACGATCGACGCCATCAATCGTGTCAGAACCCAAACTGGGCCTCGATTAAATCGGGTTCCACACGAGGTGCCTGGCGAGGCGGGCAGTTATTATTCGCTCCAAGAGCTGGCCGCGCAGCAATGACGCAGACCTAGGCGTAGGATCATCTATACTGACACTTGTAGAATCCAAACTGGCTGACACTTGTAGAGACATTACTGTACAGCCACGTCGTCAGCGTAGGCGACCAGCCTCACCCCAGGTACCACGATATTTAACAGTCTGTCGTATACGAGGTTCCATAATAACGGCCCTATTATGGAACTCTGGGGCACGCCCCCGATCACGTTCATCTGCACACTCTCCGTCCCTTGGCTGTAGACCACCAACCTTTGCGAAAGATAGTCCCGGACGGCGTAGATGACATTTGCGGGCATTTCACGCTTTGTCAACTCCCCGAGGATGGAATCCCACCTCAGGGAGTTGAACGCGTTTTTCACGTCCAGCGTGACCGTGAGGTCACGTTGTCGCGAACCCGCATATACTCCGCCCGTTCGACTACTCTCCGGATGGCCTCAATTGTGGACCTGCCCTTGCGGTAACCGTACTGCTCTTTGGCCAGTCCGTCCGCGCCGATTCTTTCATCGATTTTCCTTTTTAGGAATTTTTTCCACACTTTGCTTAGGGGGGAGAGCACGTAGGTGGATCGAAACGAGCCCGGATCCTCCGCCTGCTTCCCAGGCTTCGAGATGAGAACCAGGCGTGCCCTCTTAAATTCAATCGGTATTTTACTGCCGTTCCACAGTCCGCACAGGAGACTGCGGCGGGACGCAGTCCACCCCTGTTGCCTTTTTCCTGCCGGCCCCCAGGGCTGCCTCGCGGACGTCCCCGATGCAGATCTGCTCGGGAGTCAGGTCGTCTCTACTGAGGTGGCTTGAGTCCACCGGCGCCTCCTCTACTTGTTCCGTAACAAAGGGGCCGGCGATCGTTGCCTCCTCGCGCGTCGGCGCGACGTTCGCGCCCTTCTTTTTATATTTTTGTACCAGGACCCTGTAGGGTCGCCCCTACGGGTCCGCGTTCAAAGTCTCGATGAACTCGAGCCACCGATCTCTCTTGCTCTTTCGTATCAGGGCGTGCAAGGCCGCTCTTGCCGGCGCCTTGTACTCCCGAAGCAGCCCCTGGACCGCCTCCGTATTC